TACACCAGGATATACAACCTATGTACTATATATATATATATATATAGATCTGGAAACCCCGCGAGGATCCACAAGATGTAACCAATGGCTCCTCTTAAAAGTTCGGCATACGATTCAAATGTATACATATTGCGATGGTATTCGAATGCGTGACACTTGCTCTAAATGCAACAACCACAGAAACAGCCGATCATAAAATTGGCTTTGGGGTTTCTAGGCTTTGGGCTTTGGATCATTCAAGTTTTGAGTGTCAGCCCAGACGATGTGAAATTATAGCAGCCACTGTGGAATAGAGGAGAGTAGTGGTTCATACACAAACCAGAATATCTCTAATCTATCCCACCTTAGTAGCCTACTTATTAAGCCACTCAGAGCAAAAACACACGGCAGACTAAACACTGCTGCACGTTTTACCGGACCAACCAATGCACCGTACATCGTGCGAACAAATATTACACTACCTCTCGCTGAACCAGACTACCCACCCACTCCTATTATTCTACACGATGCACTCCTTCCTATCGCAAGATCCCCACCACTATTTCCGGTGCCAATTGTCATTGGTCCGGAGACTGCAATAATAATCGTACAATACAATCTCGCACTCTCTCGAAACCAAAGAACGCATAACTAATTCGACCACGAATAAATGGGGTTAAGCGGACAAACCTTGGACCAGCGACTGCAGATGTAGCATCACACTATCGATATCGGCGTCGGAATCTACACCCGTTTTACTTGGGCCCAAAATTTCCCCATTTCCATTCCCATTTCCATTTCCATTTACATTCTCATCGCCACGCACATGCACATGCACATTTATGTTGGTATTCGCATTGACACCACACTTGTACGTGTCCTCATTCGCATCCACGAGGTGCACAAGTGATGCCGCGGGTGTGTGCGGCTGGCCTGTTACCATGCGAGCGTAGAAGAAGTCGTCGGCGGAGTCTACTTGCAGGCCGCTGAAGAGGTCGGTTGTGTAGTTCTGGTTGCTAAGCGACTCTGCCTCGTCATCGCCGCTGGACAACCCATCATGGCCATGGAGTCTATCTTCTGGGTCGTATAGGTCACTTTTGTACTTGTCCATACTGTTTTTCCGTAGACGCCGCTTGGCGTATTGGGTCCTGCGTGAGTATGGATACGGATAGTGAATATGATATAGACTGGCACGGCTTGTAGAAACGGGTACATAGAGTTCTGTACATACGATTTTAGCAAAATATAACATCTGAAAGAATCGTATACGGCTGCTCGGGTGTGTGGCATGAGTGGTGTAATCTGACTCTAGATTGTTAAGGTTTAAAAAACCTTACCATGCAACACCAACCCAATATACTATGGCAGTGTTCTGCGTTAGCCAGATTGTGAATTATAAGTGCGAGTGTGTAGAACATTAAAGTAATATACAGATGCAAATACATCATCCGTACGCAATTATGAACGAGCACCTTGGTATACCACTGCAAATACATACATATCCACTCATTTAGAGATATTCACCCCTTTTACCTCAATTTGTGGGCCGCTATCATATCATTTCCGTTAGCATTTGGCTGGTACAGCCATGTCGGGGGGTGTTTGAACACACTCTTCCGTGCCCCATCCACGCCCGTACGATTCTTACTACCAGCCATACCCCCCAGTCCTGCGCACTCTGTGTGTTCCTCAGTACTCAGCCATGCAATACAACGGCGTATGAGTGTCTTCTGCAGCTCTCTGCGTCGACGTTGCCGGCGGCGTCTACGCCTGCGACCAATTGGTGGCAGTATCATATAGCCACACGCACATAGTCTGACAAGGGGTATCAAAAGTAAATATGAGACTAAATAACCACCAGAAACTGTGAATCAACGTGATAAAATATGATGTTGATGAGGGATGTAAGCAAGCATAAACGACTAGAGCTCGCAAACTAAGTTCATCTGAGCAAACAAAATTTAGGAGATCAATGCTGTCAATATATATAC